GGTCTTACATATCTCTCCTCATATATTTCTGTCGCTGTAAGGTTTTCATTATACTTAACCCAAGATGGCATTTTTACAAAGGCTTTAGGAAAACCTAGACCCTTTATCCTGTGAAAGGCGGGAGATAAATTTTTATTTTCTTTCTGAATTTTTTCTGCAATAGATGGGTCGCATTCAAAAACTTTCCACTCTCATCACTATTTTGCTGAAAGCATTTTACGATAAACATCTCACTGCTAGCACATACATGACCAAATCACCGCTGATCCTTGTTATGTATGCGTTTACATTATAGACATTCTAATGGAGCTTTCCAATTAAAATATACGAAGTTTTCCTTTGTCTCTTCCTTTTCTTTGATAGTCCAATCCCTAAGATAGTTAGAATGTCTTTGCAAAACAAGATCCGCGCATTTTTGTAATATATCATGACCTACAATTATTCTTAGTGGATTGTTATTTTTTTTTGTGCTAAGTAATCAGGATCTTACTTCGATCCCTAAGCTAATAGGTAGCTGAACTCTAGTATGATTGAGGTCATTCCACCCATTATCTAGTGAGAATTGAAGAATGCACTTCACACAACCTTTTTTTGCTGAACCAATAAGGCGAAGATTGAAATTTTGATCTGGAAGTTCTCAATCAATATACTTGTCAAATTTTTCACCGGTTAAGGTATATACTAACTCTGTGAATGCTTTGAGTTCATAATGATCGATAAGGAGAGCCGGTGCATATAAAACGTGATAGCTACACTTGCTAGAATCTGAAGACATAACAATTACTAACCCATTGAGAATATTTTCCCAGCTACAGTCAAGAATTCGATACAAGACTCTTATAAAAGATAGGCAGATTCAAATGAATACTTCTTGCGCCTTAACTCCATTTGCTTCCATATCCTCCTGTGTAACATCTATATCAATCACAGCTCTTAAAGGTTTTTGACTGTTAATACATTCATGAATCCCGGGTAAACCATATACTTCAGAAATGACGTCTGCAACGGAAAACTTTGGGGCTCAATCATCTTGATTGATTTTGATAACCAATTTATCTTCCACTTCATTCCGGTCATAAGCATTATATAAGCTAAACCCTTTTTCATTCGAAAAGAGAAATAAATAGATTGGGAGATATTCCAATGATCACTTTTCATCTGACATATCTCTAGGTGGTGATAGGAAAATTTCTCAAATAGCATTTAGTAAGTCCTTGGAAGAAAAAATATCATTAAACTTTTCCTGCCTTAAAGTATATGCCACATTAATCTTTCGCTCGTTTACATTTGATGGTTGAACCAATGGAGTCTTGATAGTGCTGGTTAAAGTGCATGGAGCTTCTTCATTATTTGACTCATAATTAGAATCATAGTTATTATAATAATCTGACCCTAAGTCAGATCTATTATCAGTACAACTGCTTGAGTCACTTAAATATTCATCGAGCTCGACGCCATCGTAGCGGGTGAGAGTTCTGCAATCAGTTTGGACGAAATTAGTTTGTGTATGCATGATGTTAGTTTGAAAATATTTATATTACTTTATAAAATTCGGAA